GCTCATTCGACAAACTACTAAATCAATAAGGGCAAATCATGATTTACATGTAAATAAGAACCGGTACGTTGGTTTAAAATGTTCCGAATTAACCCGATCGGAAAATGTTTGAAGGGTAGCAAAGATCCCATATTATAAAGGAAAGATCGACATTGTCCATTTTACGGATTTTTGAAAAATGTCTATAATAACATGATATAGTAACTTAAATCCAAGTTCAAAAAACTCTGAAGCCACTTAAAAATTTCTTTAGCATTTAGTGAGATCCAGTTAATTAGATGGAGCTGGTGGAAAAAGAATAGTCATATAGTAAGAATCTTATAAAAAGGAGGAATAGAATAAGCTTATTAATAAATCTACCTAGATTGAACACTAATAATGAATAATATATGTAAATGATAATCGATTTCAATTTTTAGAAGCTTAGATAAATTTATTTCATTTATTCTAGACCAAAGTCCAAATAAATTAATCTAATTTATCAAATACATCCATCATCCACTAAAGATGGATATAAAAATCAATTAGAAGGACTAGCTAATGTGTGACTGCTATGAAGTCTGAAATTGTGTAAATGACCTTGCAAATCAGGATACTCTACATATCGTTTTTCCCCTGAACTTTCATAATCACGATAGATTATTTAATTATTTATCTATTTTAAGACAACAGATTTCAGCCAATGTTTAATCTATTTTGTTTGAACTAGCTTGTTTGCCACAGATGCTACATATCTAGACTCTAATAAGCATTGTGCGCTATTCACTTGCAGTAACCATATTATCAATGAATTAATTGGCAAAAATACGTTTGCGCAGAGAATTATCATAGATGAACAAAACATGCGATAAATATGCATGGGGCTATCCATATTTGTAACAATAAATGTGCTACATTCTCAATTTGCAACCAATTAAAACTAAATAGTGTAATCAAAACATAAATTTTCGTCCTAATATTTTAATCAAATATTGTATTACTTACAATTGATAATCATTACAATTAATAATATTTGTGACCACCGAAATATGTATTTAATCTAAGCTTTTTTATTGCTTTCATATAAGCCTTTTTTAAAACTTATTACTTTAATATTATGACAAGTCAAGCTATCAGCATTCAACTTCCAAGACAGCGGAATAATAATGGTCAATTTCAAAGACCTCCAAGACCGCGAAATAATAATAGCCAACCTCGAAGGCTTCAAACAACCCCATACACTAGAAATATATTTATTGATACTCAACAACACGCAGCCTTAATTGAAGGTGCGCCATTTGACATAATGCAAAATGCAAGAATTTCTTCACGGCGTATCAAATTTTCGAGAGCGTTATTTTCCGGATTTCCTTTCACCTAAAAAAATTATTTCTCTATATAATTTTATAAAATCGAATATTATGGTACTTTTTATTTTTAATTCTTATGATATGTTAAAGTATATGCTATATTATATGCAACTTACAATTCACGATGACTTTTAAATTAGTATACATTGTAAAAATAACATCAATTATATTGCAACTGTACAATTATTCAAAACATGTATTTATATGACAACTTTACACATTTTATTAGTTTCAAGGTCATTTTAATAGAAATAAACAAGCCTCAAGTTTGGAACTCTTTTTATGCTCATTTGCTAAAGCATTTGATTACTATTTAAACAGAAATAAGAATTTTACGATCAAAATTCTATACGTGATTTCAAAAATTTGCAGCAACAAAATATTAATGCTCATATAATGATTTAGTTGCCATAACTCTATCTAATTTCATGATGACGCATGCATTAGCAACTTATCCTATCTATTTTTTTCACCGATGACAGATCCACTTTAAGTGAATGCTAGATGGATAGCTCATGTTTTTTCAGATGGCAAAATAATTGTCGAAACATTTAATTTCCTTTTAATTTTTATTGACGTGCAAGAAAATATATGAAGTTTCTAAAGAGCAATATCTAATATTAAAGCTATATGGATCATTTATAAAAATGGGACGCATGCATGTTCACTTAGATCCTGGTTTTTGATATTCCACAGTTAAAGAAAGGTCGGGCTATTTTATAAAAGGAGTATTAATGCGCTTTGGTAGCTATGATCAAAAACTATTGAGTTAAATATAGTTCACAATATTGGCCCAATTGAGGTTGAACGTATCAGATCATACGAAAACGATTAGTCCGCACCTATTTACTGGCGGAAGGGATGAATCAGTTAGTTCAAACTTTGCACGAAAGGAAATGATATGAATTGTTTTATTTTTAACGGGTAGCCCTCACACGATAGATCACAACTCACATAAAAGTAGGTTTAAATAGAAATTTAAAATAGATATTTGAGCTTCGTCATGAAGTTAACTCCATTTCCTCCAAGGCCACTGATTGCTAAGATTATATATAACCTTCATCTTTAACCTTTATATAAAGGTCCAAGGAAATTTTATTATAAGATGTACAGTACGTACAATCTTATTTTGTAGGCTTAAATGTACGATATAGCTTAGTTCTTTTCGGAGCTTTTTGGATATTTTCTCAAAATTTTAACTCAAACCTCCTCGTATTTTATGTTCATCTATTTTCTTTTCTGAAATTTTCGTAACAATTAGCTCTTCTATATAACTACAAACCACAAAATTTCACTTTACTATTATGTACGATATATCAAAGGTTAAGTAAAAATTGTTATCAAAAAAGGAAATTCGTGTGACCGTACGATTAGTTTAAGTGTACAGTACGATAAACGTTTTAAACATATAATCAGCGATCCTTTTCCTCCTCGACCAAATTTGAACAAATAGATATATTTGCTAACGATACTCATAAAGAATACCCACCAAAAGACGGCTATGAGAACAATAAACAACTTAACGTTATCGACTATGCTATTTTAATTTAATTAGACCTAGTAAAGGCTATAGAAGAAAATAGGAAATTATGAAATTACGATGTGAATACTTTGTAATGTGGGGCTCTAGGAACTAATGAATCTCGGCTTTTAATTAAGTTATTCGATCATGGTGGATATTTTTCTACTTTTAAGAATATAGATGAAATTTTTAGTGGAATCTTTTATAAATATTAAAGAAGAATCAAATGTCCGGAAAAAGAACTATATTTTTGGAGAGTTGTTAAAAACTTCAAGTAACTTAAAAGATCAATACAAATAGGATTTTATATAAGTGCCTGCATGATCCTGAGACTGCGTTTAACGAAGCATTAGAATATTACATAGATAATACTAATGGATCAATAACTTACATTATTGAATCCTAATTGAATTTGGTTCTGATTCAACTTAATGATATTTTGAAGAAATTTCAACACATTTTCAGTCTAATTTATTGATACAAAATTCTGATAATGGAATTTATCAGCGCAGGCTATGATTACTAAATGCGCATTTTTTCA